AACTTGGGAGGCGGAGGTTGCAGTGAGCTGAGATCATACCATTGCACTCCAGCCTAGGGAACAAGAGTGAAACTCCATCTCAAAAAAAAAAGTTTGAATATCTCATGTAATTCATTGACTGAATTTCACTAAAAGTGAAAAACAGAATGGCTCTATGGGTACCATTTCAAAATTGAAAAATCGTAAATTGAACCATCATTATTTAGGGATTATAATTCTTACCCAGTGATTTAAAGTGTTCTAGTGGTTGGGTGCAGTGGCTCACACCTGTAATCCCAGTACTTTGGAAGGCCCAGGCGGGCGGATCACCTGAGGTCAGGAGTTCAAGACCAGCCTGGCCAACATGGCAAAACCTCGTCTCTACTAAAAATACAAAAAATTTAGCTGGGCATTGTGACACATGCCTGTAATCCCAGCTACTTGTGAGACTAAGACAAGATAATTCCTTGAACCCCAGAGGCAGAGGTTGCAGTGAACCAAGATTACACCACTGCACTCCAGCCTGGGTGACAGAGCAAGGCCCATCTCAAAAAATAAAAATAAAAAATAAAGTGTTCTAAGTTAGGTATAACAAAATGCTGCAGAAGAACTGAAAGGAATCTAATTCTGCTTGCAGAGGGAACATTGGTAGAAGTCTTATAAAGTGGGTGGTGTTTCAAGTAACATTAGGATGAATATAAATTTGCCAGGCACAGAGAACAAGCATGCTTAAAGCTGAAAAAGCCTAAAGGAACCTATTCACATAGATGAGATGCTTGCTTTGTTTATTTTGAAGGGAAATATAGAAAAGAACAAATGAGATAATGCATGTGAAAATACTCTGAAACTGTGCAGTGTAGAACAAATATCAATCACAGTCTTAATTAGCCTTATATTCAAGTCCTTGATGCCCTAGACTTGAATGATGTAACAACCTTTTACATATTTAGCATCCTTTAAAAATAGTCAGTTGCATATCCAAAAGTAATAGTGTCTATAAATATAGAGAAAAATATTAAATTAGTCTTAGGAAAAATTCTAATATATGTGGACCCATTTTGTTTACTTTTTACATGACCTTGAGAATTTGGGATATCATTTTGTCATTTTGTAAAATTAAAAATACTTCAGTTGCCTTTCATCTGCTACACTATTTCACCACTAATTAGCAAGATTGGAATGAATAGATCTTACCAGCATTCCTGAAATTAAGAAGATATTATAAACAACTTTCACTAATAAACTTGACAAATTAAATGAACCAATTTCTTTGTGTGTGTGTGTGTGTTTTAATAAAGACAGGGTTTCACCATTTTGGTCAGGCTGGTCTCAAACTCCTGACCTTGTGATCCACCCACCTCAGCCTCCCAAAGTGCTGAGATTACAGGCATGAGCCACCACGCCTGGCCAAAATGAACAGATTTGTAGAAAAATGCAACTTACCAGCTGGGCGCCGTGGCTAACGGTGGTAATCTCAGCACTTTGGGAGGCCGAGGCAGGTGGATCACCTGAGGTCAGGAGTTTGAGACCAACCTGGCCAACATGGTGAAACCTCATCTCTACTAAAAATACAAAAATTAGCCAGGGGTAGTGGCAGGTGCCTGTAATCCCAGCTACCTGGGAGGCAGAGGCAGGAGGATCGCTTGAACCCAGGAGGCAGAGGTTGCTGTGAGCCAAGATCACGCCGTTGCACTCCAGCCTGGGCAACAAATTGAGACTCCATCTCAAAAAAAAAAAAAAAGCAACTTACCATAACTGACAGGATAAATAGAAAATCTGAACAGTACTATATATATTAAAGAAATTTAATTTGTAATTAAGATCTTCAAAGAAAGATGCATCAGGTTCAACTGGCTTCACTGGCAAATTATTCCATATATTTAATAAAGAAGAAACATCAATTCACATGAACTATTCCACAGAACAGAAAAAGAAAAACATTTCCCAATTCCTTTCATGACAATAGCATATTCTTGATACCAAAAATCTAACAAGGACATTACAAGTAAGGTCAATTATAAACCAGTATTTCTCATAACTATGAATGCAAAAATCCTGAAGAAATATTAGCAAACCAAATCCATAAAATATTCAAAAGAACACATGACATCCAATATTGGGTTTGTTCCAGGAATGTAAAGGGGGTTTTATATTTGAAAATCAGTCAGTATGATTCAAGACATCAAGAGAATAAAGGAGAAAAATAATACGACTTTCTTAATAGACACGGAGAAAGCAAATGATGAAACTAAAGTCCCAGTCATGATTGTGGGTGGGGGGAAAGGCAACCCTTAGAAAACAAACTGTGGAAAGGGACTCATTCATATGACAATTTCTATAAAAACTTTACAGAAAAGTCATCCTTAGTGTGAACATATTGAAATCCTTTTTCTTGAGATTGAGAAAGACACAAGGTTCGCTATTATCTTTGCTCCTCTTCAACAGTATACATCCTAACTAGTACAATAGGACAAGAAAAGAAAGTAAATGTTAGAAAAGGGCCAGGTGCTGTGGTTCATGCCTATAATCCAAGCACTTTGACAGGCTGAGGTGGGCGTATCACCTGAGGTTGGGAGTTCAAGACCAGCCTGTAACCCCAGCTACTCAGGGAAGCTGAGGCAGGTGAATCATTTGAACCGGAGAGGTGGAGGTTGCAGTGAGCAGAGATTGTGCAGCTGCACTCCAGCCTGGGGAACAAGAGTGAAACTCCAGCTCAAAAAATGGTAGGAAGAAAGAAATAAAACTATATGACTTTGTATTATGATTGTATATATAGAAAATTCAAAAGAATCTAGAGATAAACTATTAGATAATCATGTTCACTAGATACAAGGTCCATATAGAAATATTAACTGCACCTGGATATTAAACCATTGGGTAAAAGTTTGAAGGATAGCTACACAGCTCCGAAGTATCTTCCACAAGAGACCTACTAATTACAAAGTATAAAATGATAACTTTATAGTGGAGAAACTTGGCAGACATACCTTAACTAGGTGACTGAAGTTAATTAACATTGCCAGGAATAGGACAAATCAGTATGATGAGATGCTTGATCTGAAGCACTGAGAAAAAAAATCCCATCACTTTTGTGGTGTTACTCCCAAAATGAATCTAATATTGAGAGAACATCAGACAAACCCAAACTGAGGTACACTCTACAAAATAGCCAAATTCCTCAAGATGCTGCAGTCATAAAAGACAAAGATTAAGGAACTAGCATTCCAGATTAAAGAGACTAAAGAAACATTAAAAACCGAATACAACAAATGATTGGGACTGGGCGTGGTGGCTCACACCTGTAATCCCAGTACTTTGGGAAACTGAGGTGGGCAGTTCACCTGAGGTCAGGAGTTCAAGACCAGCCTGGCCAACATGGTGAAACCCCATCTCTACTAGAAATAGAAAAAATTAGCCGGGTGTGGTGCCATGTACCGGTAGTTCCAGCTACTCAGGAGGCGGAAGCAGGAGAATCAGAGGCGAAGACTGCAGTGAGCCAAGATCAGGTTCACCCTCTGCCTCCTGAGTTCCAGTAATTCTCCTGCCTCAGCCTGAGCACTCCACCCTGGGTGGAGTGAAAGTCTATCTCAAACAACAACAACAACAGCAAATGATTGGGATTTATTTTTTCTTTGCTACAGTGGTCATTATTAGGACAATAGGCAAAATTTGAATAAGGTCTGTAAATTAGCCAGACCTTATTCAAAACTCAAATAGTAGTAAAGATTTAATGTTCATTTCCTGATTCTGTGATGTGTGGCTTATGTAGGAGAAATTCTTTTCAGGAAATATCCACGGACATATTTAGAGATAAGGTTGACTGTGTGCAACTCACTCTTAAACAGTTGAGGAAAAATATGTATATTTACAGAGACAGCGAAAAAAAATGGATAAAACAAATTAGTAAAATGTTAACATATGGGAAATCTAGGTGAAGAAAACTTAAAATATTCACAGTGGTATCAAAAATATCAGCAAATGATGAATACATTAATATAAGGTGTTCAAGATGTAAGGCGTTCAAGATCTCTACACAGAAAGCTGTAAAACGTGACTGGGAAAAATTAATGAAGGCCTGAATAAATGGAGGAATATTCCATGTTCATGGATGAGGAACTCAATTTTTTTTTTTTTTTTTTTGAGATGGAGTCTCACTCTGTTGCTCAGGCTGTAGTGCAGTGGTACAATCTCAGTTCACTGCAGCCTCTGCCTCCTGGGTTCCAGTGATTCTCCTGCCTCAGCTTCCTAGGTAGCTGGGAACACAGACACATGCTACCGTGTCCAGCTAATTTTTGCATTTTTAGTAGAGACATATTAGCCAGATGGTCTTGAACGCCTCATCTCAGGTGATCTGCCCACCTCAGCCTCCCAAAGTGCTAAGATTGATTACAGGTGTGAGCCACTGCACCTGACCAGACTGTCTTTTAAAGTAATCAGTTGTCTCCAAATTGATCTGTACATTCAGTGCAATTCCAATTATAATTCCAGTACAATGTGTATAGGTATCTATGAATTGAGATGCTGATTTTAAACTTTTAAGTGAAATGCAAAAGTCCAAGAATAGCTAAGATTCCTTGAGGAAAAAAAATTGTTGGAGGACTTACACTACTAGATTTTTTTTTTTTTGAGGTGGGGTCTCACTCTGTCACCCACGCTGGAGTGCAATGGCACGATCTTGGCTCACTGCAACCTCCACCTCCCAGGTTCATGTGATTCTCATCCCTCAGCCTCCCGAGTAACTGGGACTACAGGTGCTCACCACCGTGCCCTGCTAATTTTTTGTATTTTTAGTAGAGACAGGGTTTCGCCATGTTGGCCAGGCTGGTCTTGAACTCCTGACCTCAGGTGATCCACATGCCTTGGTGTCCCAAAGTGCTGGGATTACAGGCTTGAGCCACTGCGCCTGCCCTACACTACTAGATAGTAAGACTTATTACAAAGTTATAGTAATTAAGACAACTTAGAATTAGTACAAGGTAAAACAAATAGATCAGTGGAACAGAATATGGTCCAGCAGCAGATTCAAACATATGTAGTCACTTTATTTATAAGGGAGGTGATACTGTAGTACAGTAAGGAAGGGATAGTCTTTTCAATGAATACATAGTTGGCTATCCACATGGAAAAAAAAATCTGGACCCCTGCCTTCCCAGCATAAGCAAAAATAAAAAACAAAGAACAAAAATTCCAAGGGAATTATAGATCTTGATGTAAAGTTAAACAACGGTGCTTGTGCAAAACATGACGAGATCCTCATGATCTGGAGGCAGGCAAAAATTTCCTCAATAGAGCATAAGTACTAACTATAAAGAAAAAGATAGATACATGTGAATACATTAACAACTTTTGTTTATCAGATTCACCATTAAGAGTGAAAAAGCAAGCTACAGATCAGAAGAAGATACTATAATACATATAACCAACTAAACCCTTACATCCAGATTATACAGAAAACTTGTAAAAATCTGTAAGAAACAGATCACTCATAGGAAAATGATCAAAAAGACTTCATCAGGTACTTCAGAAATATTAAAATGGCCACTAAATATAAAGATACTCATCTCATTTGTCATCAAGGAAATACAAAGTAAAACCACCATGAAATACTACTATACATCTACCCAATGTCTAAAACAATGTGGAACTCATATATTCCTGTGGGAATGCAAACTAACACAGTATTTTGGAAAACTGTATTTACACAGTATTTTGGAAAACTGTAAGTATTTACATACTATGTGCTAAATAAACACATAGTTGCACTTATACCTTAGGGCCAGGGTCCCCAATCCCCAGGCTGTGGACTGGTAGGTTAGGAACTGGACTGTTAGGAACTGGGCTGCATGGCATGGGGTGAGCAAGCAAGCATTACTGCCTGAGCTCCACCTCCTCTCAGATTCTTACACCAGCATGAACCCTGTTGTGAACTGCACATGCAAGGGATCTAGGTTGTGCTCCTTCTGGGAATCTAATGCCCAATGATCGAGGTGGAACAATTTCATCCAGAAACCATGCTCCACTCCCACCCCTGCAACCTGTTTGTGAAGAAATTATCTTTCATGAAACCAGTCCCTGGTGCCGAAAAGGTTAGGGACTGCTACCTTAGGGCCCACCAATTGCAATCCTAGGTATATGTCTAACAGAAATGCATATATATGGATAACAAAAGATGTGTAAAAGAATGTTCCTCACAGCAGTATTCACAACAGCTGAAAATGGAAGCACAATGTCCATCAACAGAATGAATAAATACAGTGTGACATACATAGTTACAATCCACAGTATTGTAAATGAACTACAGCATGCAAAAAAACTTGGTTCCGTCTCAAAAGCATAGTGATTTAAGGAATTTGGATATGAGTATATATGATATGATTCTATTCTTACAAAATTCAGAAAAAGGTAAAACTCATCCATGCTATCAGAAATTAGGATAGTCGTTACCTTTGGGAAGGGGAAAGGTTACCTCTGTGTTAATTTTGTGAAGGGGGTAGGGATTGGAGGGACGAGGGGGTGCTGTTAATACTCTTTATCCTGCTCTGTATGGCAGTTACACAGTTGTGTTCATATAGTGATGATTCATAGAGCTTTATCCTCATAGCACATTTTTCTGTATATGTGTTTGTGGTAAGCAGTCTCTGAGATGGTCTCCAATGATCCCATCCTCCTGCTATTTATGTCTTTGTATAATCCTCTCCCCTTGAACATGGGTTAGATTTGTTGACTCAATTCAAATGAATATAATACAGCAGAAGAGATGGGATATCACTTACAAGACTGGGTTATGAAAAGACTATGGTGGCTAGGCACAGTGGCTTACATCTGTAATCCCAGCCCTTTGGGAAGCCAAGGTGTAAATATTTCTTGAGCCTGGGTGTTTGAGACCAGCTGGGCAATATAGTGAGACCCCATCTCTGCAGAAAATCCAAAATTTAGCCAGTCATGGTGGCACACACCTATAGTCCTAGTTACTTGGGAGTCTGAGGTAAGAGGATCACTTGAGTCCAGGAGGTCAAGGCTGCAGTAAGCCATGATCACACACTACTGCACTCCAGCCTGGGTGATAGAGCAAGACGCTGTCTCTAAAACAAGAAAAGAATAAATAAATAAAAAGTCGGTGGCTTCCATCCTTGGTGCCTGTCTCACTGACTCTTGGCTGACTCGGCCTGGGTTAAGCCAGTCATTGTGTCATGAGGCAGTCTTAAGGAGACGTCCACATGTTGAAGAACTTAGCACCACCAGCAGCCATGTGAGCAAGTTTGGCAGATGTAGCGGATCTCTCCTCTACACATAATGGAACCTTCAGATGAAACTGTAGACCCTGCTAAGAGCTTGACTACAATTCATGAGAGACCTTGAGCCAGAGGCACCCAGCTAAGCAACATGTAGGTTCTGGATCCACAGGAACTAAGAAATGGTAAATACTCATAGTTTTAAGTTAACAAGTTTTGGGGTAATTTGTTATACAGCAATAGTCTTACAATAATCTTTATGTTAATATATGTTTATAATATTAAGATTATATAATCTTGATTATATATAGTATATTGAGATTTATCAATAGATATCTTTCAAAATGTGTAAATCCATATTCAGTTGGTAAAACCATAAAGAATTTTTATAGTGGCTTTTGATGCAAGGCACGTACAAAGCCATATGCCAATAGTGGATTTTCAGCAAGCTCCAAATGTGAATCATTATTCTATTTTTGTTTTTCAGCTTTGTTACTTTGAGTTTGTCTCTGATGATTGATCGTATTTTTTTTGGCCAAGTAAGTAAAAGTCATTAAGCTAACAGCTATTTTTATTTTTAATCCATTAATACTTGGGAACTGAGGCAAACAATTTTTTTAATGATATGGGAAACACTACAAAAGACTTCTAAGAATATCCTAATAAGCCTTTGGTTCAATTGGTTGTGTTTTCTACATAAAAGAATTAGTATTTCTAGTTGAGATTCAGGAGAGTACATTTTAAGGTAGGGAATTATTAAGTGAGCACTTAATGTTACCTGTTGTTGCTCTTTCTGACATTATTGTCAGCTTTGTGCTGTAATTCAAATTGTAATGTTTTCAAACCTTTATCTTAATAGGTAATAACTGACATTGTAAGGTATTACACAGTCAGAAAAATTTGTCTAGCATCCTCCTTACCTCTAATTGGATATAAAACTTGCATGGGGCTAGAGGCCATTATTCTAAGTGAAGTAACTCAGGAATGGAAAACCAAATATTATATGTTCTTACAAGTGGGAGCCAAGCTATGAGGATGCAAAGACATAGATGATATAATGGACTCTGGGGACTTAGGGTGGGGAAGCGTGAGAAATAAGACACTACATATTGGGTACAATGTACACTGCTTGAGTGATGAGTGCACCAAAATCCCAGAAATCACCTCTAAAGAACTTTTTGAGATTCACATTCAAGGTGAATCTCAAAAATCTAGTTTTACAAATTAACAAATAACACATTAATACTTAAAGAAGAAAAAAAATAACAGTTAAGGATTTCATACAGTCAATCAAAATTATTGATGTAAACTACTGTCTGGTTTTTAGACTTCAATTCTAATTTAATGTCAAGATTCTATCAGTCCCCTTAATGCCGAAGATTACTGCTTGGCACTAACACATTTCTATTTCTTTTTCCTTCAACTGTGCCAGTGGACTCTGGTTCAATTTAATTTTTTGAAATTTAACGTGCTGCAGAACTTGGGAACATTTTATGGTTCTCATCCATGGCATTGGTACCTCAGTCAAGGATTTCCAGTTATCTTGGGTACTCACCTACCCTTCTTTATTCATGGCTGCTTTCTAGCACCGAAGAGATACCGGATACTGTTGGTGACTGTGCTATGGACACTACTTGTTTATAGGTAAGATTTTATTTGTTCAAAAGGCTAAAATTTTTTATGTTACCAGGAAATCAAATGAACTAAATTCTTCAAAAAGTAAACTGTTTATTTTTTTCGAGGTACCATTAACTTTTGTTAGTGAGGATTATCTTAGAAGATACAAGTACTAGTAATTATGGAGGCATTCAGAGTGAATAGATAATGTAGTTTGCTTAAGTACATATCTAAAGGATTATACTCAATTTTTAAGAACTTGGAATAATTTTATTTGCTTAAAAAAAAAAAAAAAAAAACCGGACCAGGCACAGTTGCTCATGCCTTTAATCTCAATACTTTGGGAGGCCAAGATGGGAGGATTGCTTGAAGCCCAGAGTTCATGACCAGCCTGAGCAACATAGCAAGACCCTCTCTCTGAAAACAATTTAAAATTATGAGGGCATGTTGTCATGTGCCTGTGGTCCTAGCTTTTGAGAAACTGAGGCAGAAGGACTGCTTGAGCCCAGGAGATTGCAGTGAGCTATGATTGTGCTACTGCACTCCAGCCTGGGTGACAAAACAAGACCCTTTCTCAGTCAATCAATCAATCAATCAGTAAGTCAATCAATACCACCAAAATTTTAAATTGAAATACCACGGAAATACATTCTAAAATAAAAGTGTATGTATCCATATTCCAATTTTGACTAATTTTATGTACTTGGATTGGAAATAGAAATCCCATTTTTAGAATGTAACTGTACTTTGTAATTTCAAATTGACATCATATTTGGTCATTAGTTTTACCATATCATAACCACCTTATAACTAAAAAATGAGACTAATTCCTGAAGCAAGAGAGGAAGAAATTCAGTCTGAATACTTAGAAAATAAATAGATCCAGGCCGGGTGTGGTGGCTCACGCCTATAATCCCAGCTCTTTGGGAGGCTGAGGCAGGCGGATCACAAGGTGAAGAAATCGAGACCATCATGGCCCATATGGTGAAACCCCATCTCCACTAAAAATGCAAAAATTAGCTGGGCGTGGTGGTATGCACCTGTAGTCCCAGCTACTCAGGAGGCTGAGGCAGGAGAATGGCTTGAACCCAGAAGGTGGAGGTTGCAGTGAGCCGAAATGTTTTTGCTCTGCCGCCACTGCACTCCAGCCTGGTGACAGAGCAAGACTCTGTCTCAAAAAATAAATAAATAGATCATGTTAATTATATTTTAAGTACATTAATTTCTCAATCTATCATATAATTAATACTTTCTTATAATATCTCTTTTTATTATAGCATGTTGAGCCACAAAGAATTCAGGTTTATTTATCCAGTTTTACCATTCTGTATGGTGTTCTGTGGTAAGTGCTTTTGTTTGATATAGAAAATTATATAGAAATAGTTCAAAGACAACACATCCTCATTAAACTCTATTTATATTTTCAACTATCTTAATAAAGAATTACTTCTTAATTACAAATTAATTATATTATTGCAATATTCCCTTTTTGTAGTCCAAATATATTTTTTCCTGTATCCTCTAAAATGAGATAAAAACATAAAGATCCTAGCCCATTGCAGTGGTGTGCACTTATAGTCCCAGGTACTCAGAAGCCTGAGACAGGAGGATCACCTGAGCCCAGGAGTTTGAGACCATCGTGGATACTATGGCAGGTCCTTCTCTCAAAAAACAAACAAAAGGCCAGGCGCGGTGGCTCATGCCTATAATCCCAGCACTCTGGGAGGCCGAGGCGGGTGGATCATTAGGTCAAGAGATCGAGACCATCCTGGTCAATGAGGTGAAATCCTGTCTCTACTAAAAATACAAAAATTAGTTGGGCAGGGTGGCGCATGCCTGTAGTCCCAGCTACTCAGGAGGCTGAGGCAGGAGAATTGCTTGAACCCAGAAGGCGGAGGTTGCAGTGAGCCAAGATCGTGCCATTGTACTCCTGTACTCCAGTCTGGGGAACAACACCAAAACTCTGTCTCAAAAAAAAAAAAAAAACCCCACATAAATATCCAATAACCCAAAGCAGTTTTTGGTGGTGGTGTTTCTATCTGGTGGTGGTGTTTCTCACTAAAAAGTAAAGTAACATATCTGTTTTAGATTAGCTATTTTAAGTTTATGGTTAAATTGTAAGGGTCATTTTCACAAAGGAAAATGTATTTATTGCTGTTGAAACTAGTTTTTAATGCTTTTACACACAAAACATTTACCCCTTTAAAACTCACTCTCAGGTATATACAATTTTTTAAGTAATTAACTCCTGATTTTATTTCAGGCCTTCTGTCCATTTTTCCACAGTCTTAACACGTACTTTTTTGTCACTTACGAAAATAAGACTCAGTTCAGGAAAACCTGGATTTTTACATTGGTTGGTTTGGAAAAATTATGAATTGAAACTTTACTAACTTCAAGTTTAATTCGGAATAAATGACTGTTGGCTTCCTTCAAATACTAAGACCTTAAAAAAAAAATCACTGCGTTGAAAGAGAATAACTAGCCAAGTGGAACTGGAGTCTGGAAAAAACCTAGGGAGTTACTCTTCTCAAACTTATTTTTACTTAAAAAAAAAAAACATTGAGTTAGGCATCATTTTACCAAGTATACAACAACTCCTACAGATCTGAGATGTATACTCTTCAATTTAAGAAGACATAATTTTATACAAATATAAAATCAAATATAACAATCTGCATATTTGACACATCTGAAGTTCTGAAACCAAAGCCTCAGTCTGTCATTACTTTATAGTCTAACCACATACAAATGCAGGCACATACAAAAATATAGACATCTAACAGTTATTTGGCAAGCCGTAAGAATAGCTGGCCCCATTTGCCAGCGGAAATCTGTTCATAAGTCACTGTTCAGAAGTTAAAGTGGTTTGTTTTGTTGTTTTTTTTACAGCCACTTGAGTGTGTATTATAATTAAATCAAACATTGCCAAAGTATAGAGACAAATGTTTGTGTGTGCCTGGAGGGGACAGGGAAATTGGTTAACTGCGTAACTTGGTTTGATTTCTGTTTTCGTAAACCAGATTTTTCTAGCATTCTTCTTTTGTGTCATGTTTCTTTACCAAGTATTTACACATAGATCTGAGTTGTCTGAATCCTCATTCCAAGTCTAAAAGATTGAATCTTTAAGTAGCAAGATCCCTGTAACCAGGGCCTGTTCCCAGTTGAGATAAAATGCTGATGAGGTATGAAGAGATCCCCTTCTAATAGATGAGAATCACCCCTTCTCCCAT